GTAGGTAGAAGTAATTTTGGGGTTAGGGTTAGGCTGGGGAATGGAGATCACTCTGGGCAATGCCCTGGACCCCTGGGGTACGCGTTCACACCCACCTCTGGAATAGGTTGTGTCTTGCCTACCACTGTGTCTGGCCTGTGGGCGGCACTTATCTTCCACAAGAGACCCCTCCCAGACGTATCCTCCCCCCGAAAATATTAGCCACCAGTTGTCAAAGACACTACGTCCACCTCCCCCCATCCTTCAGCACTCAATGTCCCCTCTCCCTGTTCTCAACATTTGGGCTCAAATATCAGCAGCCTGGGTGCCTAACACAGTACCAGGCCAGTGGTAGGGGTCGCCTTCCATTTTTGTCGGAAGGATGGATGAGTAGATGGTCAAATAACACAACTGTAACCCAGTGTAAGCAGCGATTGTTTATAGCCTTGACTCGGAGATTGTCCTCCGCCCCTGATGAACCTGTTACCAGTTACTGTATCTTACGGACCTCTGTATGATGCTTGTCGTTCGAAAACCAGACTCTGGTTTCAGATGCCACTTGGTGGAACTTTCGCTGTCCGATGAATGAGTTGATGTTTGTGTTGGAAATGAGAATCTGGCTAACGTGTAACTAACTGTGTGGTGTCGGTCAAGGCACTTCTCCTCTCTGACTGTCGGTCTCCTTTTTTCTAAGCCGTGGGTCACTGGAAAGCTTACCTCCTGGGTTGTTGTGAGAGCTCAGGGTTGGGTGAACTTTAACAGCATTCATTAAATGCTGGCCGTCACTGAAAGTGATCATGTGTTGGGGGATGTCTGGAAGGGAACAGGGAAGCTTTTGCTGGTTCTAAATGAATAAAAAGTTGGCCTTGACCTTATAATAAGATTTTATTTCCGACAGTCACTGGGACGTGTGAGACAGAGGTCAAGTGACCTGAGAGTGTTTAGTGATGCAGGTTCAGAGTAAATATTGGCTCAGTTAATGAGTGATGGCTTTTCTCCTTCCTTGGAGGCTCCTTTCCTCTCCCCCCCACCCCACCCTGGGTGGCTGTTTGTCACGCGCAGGTGACTATTCCTGCCAGGTCTGTGGAGGGACTTCTGTGAGTCCCCCGAGGGTATTTGTTAGGGGGGAGGAGCAAGGAGAGTTTAGAGAGAGCCCAAGGAGAGGTTTCTGGGTAACATCTTAGGGACTAAAACGCCCTCTTCTGCCCTTTAGGGGAAAGGCTTCTGCTTGATTGGCACGTGGGCCCATTTTACAGATGAGGAGTTGTGTCTGAGCCCAGGATTGAACAGTCTTCCATGAAAGCCAGAGGGTGCTCTCTCAACTCAGTCAAAGCAAACCCTCCTGGTTCCATGGCTGGTCTCTGCCAGCCCAAATGTACCCCAGTGTGTCCCTGTCCCCACCACGTGCCTAGCACTGCCCCCCTGGACCTTCAGTAGGACCTGGAAACTTCCTGCTCAGGAGACATCCCCTTGGGGTCATCATGGATCCAGGGGTCTCCACGAGTGTGCAGAATTCCTTTCCTGGGCTTTCTCTCACGTGTGTGGACAGCAGCGTTCTGCAGAACACCCCCAGATTCCATTCCAGGTGCCTGGAGTTGGGGGTCTCCTCTGGTCCCTCCCCCTGCAGAAGCCTCCCAGGCCCCCTCATTTGGCCTCTGGCTGTCAGAGCCTCAGTGGGCTGTGTCCACATGTGGCCACCACCCTGTGTCCTTGAGAACTTTTCTGAAGCTCCCGAGGGGATCTGCAGGTAGACAGGTGGATAGGGCCCTCCTCCCAGGGGACTGTGAGTCTGTGTGTAGATGTCTGCTCCAGGATGGTCCTCGGGCCTGTGTGCCCAGGGGTGAGGAGTGTTTTCAGGGCCTCGTCCTCCTGAGCAGGGCAGGCCTGGGTCCCCATCTCCAGAGGGTGGGGAGGAAGCTGAGGCTCAGTGAGGGTTAGGGTTTCGGGTCAGGGTCAGGGTTCTCAGTGAGGGCTAGCGTTTCAAGTTAGGGTCAGAGTTCTCAGACCCCCTCCCTGACTCCGAGACTTGGGCTTCTCTGACCCTGATGGCCCTGCTGCCTGTGTAGTAGGCGCCTAATAGATGCTCACTGATGGGCAAGCGGGGTTTTCGTGGATGTGAAAAGCTGCACTGACTGTTGGCTGACGGACACATTGACTCTGGATGCATGTCTGTAAGAGGAAAGAGGGTGTTTTCTTGGCAGACTCTTCAGGGCAGACCCTGAAGGCCTCTGTCTGCGGTGGGGGCTCGCCCTGGGGAACCTTCTGGATGCAAACAGCTGTCTTCTGACTGTTTCTGGAAATGTTTATATCTAGAATAAAACTTTATTCAGGCTAAAAAATGTACTCCTCTGTGTTGTGGTCCAAGTGACTTTTTAAAAGTTCTGTTGACATGTGGTTGACACACATTATGTTATTTTCTTCTGTACAGCGAAGTGACTTGGTGTTACATATATATTCTGTTTTCATATTCTTTCCCACTATATTTTATCATGGGGTATTGAATTTGGTTCCTTGGGTTTCGCAGTAGGTGGTCCAGGCGATGTTGCTAATGTGGCGTTTGGCAGTTCCCCAGTGGCAGAGGTGTTCTGGCCACGCCCTTGCCCGCTCTGGGTCTCAGGAACCCTCGCTTTGGGGGAGGGGAGGTCTTTGACCTGAGAAATCTTTATCCTCACCATTGGTGACCATCCGGCTTCGCCTGTAAGGTACATGCCCGGTCTGAGATGCTGCCTGGTCCTCAGCAAACGAGGGGGGATTGGACCCCAGACCTTGATTCCTTTCTTTCACTCTCTCCTGTCTCCCCAAGCTGGGTCTTGGGGGGAGGGTGGGGATCTTGCCCACTTGAGTTCTGGTTGTGGCAACAGCATTTGCCAGTGCAGTGGCCTTGAGGGGTTAGTTGAACCACCCCAAGCCTGGTTCCCCTTTCTGCAGAATGGGTACATAATGACAGTGTCTGCTCAGGGGGTGCTGGGCTCCCATACACTGGTCCTGAGAATCAAGGTCTGACGCTCAAAGCTATCTAAGCACCTACATGTGTGTGGCCTGGAGGGGTTTGTTCACCTATAATCCGAAAATAGTCACGTCTGCCTGGCGTGGTTATCGTCGGGTTCGAGGAGGTTGTTTATGTGAAAATCAGTGCTTTGTTACTTGGCCTGCTGTTTGGGGTAGGCCACAGCGCCCTGCAGCCTGTGGGTCCTGATCATGGAAGCCCTGTGCTTTCTGAAACGATGGTGGCCCCAGAAACTGCTGGGCGGAGTGTAGGGTGTCACGGGAGCACCCAGCCAGCCTGGGGGAGGCAGTGAGGGACGGGAAGCTTTGCTCTTCAGTACAGAGATGTAAAGTTCAGAGGGGAGGGGATTAAGGTCCAGGTGGGCAGAATCAGGGAGAATTTTCAGAAACCCCCAGAGGAGGAGTATGTTCCCAGGGGGGCTCAGATGGTAAAGAATCTGCCTGCAATGCAGGAGACCCGGGCTTGATCCCTGGGTTGGGAAGATCTCCTGGAGAAGGAAATGGCAACCCACTCCAGTATTCTTGCCTGGAGAATCCCATGGACAGAGGAAGCTGGCAGGCTACAGCCCGCGAGTTTGCAAAGAGTCGGACATGACTGAGTGACTGACACTCTCTCTTTCAGAGGGGGAGGAAGTTGGTAGTTCAGAAAATGCCCTGGTCTAATTGGCAACCGCTTGGACAGGAGAGCTGGGGTGGTTTCTCCCAAGGCCAGGAGTTCTAGGTTTCGGTTGGTTAGGTGACAACCATCGGGTTACTGGTGCAGGAGCATGTGATGCTTCTGGAAATTACAGGAGGAGACCAGGGAGGGGGTGATGTGAAGGGTGCCAGGTAGAGGGCAGGAGCTGGTGGCTGGGTGCTCCCCTCCCTGTGTGGTCCAGGCCCCGAGCATCCCTTCTCCTGTGTCTGCCCCTCGCCTCCCGCCTGCCTGTGTGCATAAGAACTCTTGTCAGCCTGTGAGCCCGGGAGCGGATGGCCTTCATCTGCGCCTGTCTCTCCCAGCATCCACAGACACAGGGGACACCTGCACGTGGTCCCACGGGACAGGCTGGACCAAAAGACTGGACCTGGGCTGCCCCCGACCCTGCGTGGAGGGGCGTGTCCTCCCCGCCTCCCCGCCCTCTGACTGATGGACTTCACTGATCTGAGTGTCAGACATGCGTGCCGGACCCCCTCCCCGCCCCTCACGAACCCTGAGACTGGGGGGAGCGCCGGGCCTCGCGGTGCACATCTGAGAAATGGGCTCGGACACCTACCTCACAGGGCTGTTGTGAGGAGCTCCTGCGGTGGTCGGAAAGCACCCTCCCCCTGCTGGCGGGGGCGGGGCTTGGCACAGCCCATGTGCTCTCAATAAATGTGTTTCTTGTCTTAACAAAAACAGCGATGGATGTGCTACTAATCTGAGGAGGGGTGAGTGTCGGGATGCTGTCTGGCTGGGGGCTTCCCGTCACCTTGGGGCCGTGTGATGGGAGTGTGTGGGGGAGCCAGCTCGGGTCCCAGGAAGCCACCTGTCCCCTGCCCATCAGGCACTCGGGCGATGAGAGGCTCGGAAACAAAGCTGGCCTGCTGGGCTCCCGAGGCAGATGCATGTTGGGATGAACTAACCTGGGCTGGTCCCCTTCTTCTGATGGTTTTAGGATGCTAGGTTTCTTTCCAGAGAGGCATGTAGGCAGGAGGTGGAGGAAGTCTGTGCGGGTCCCTGGAGCCCCCGAGGTGCCGCTCCAGGGCTGTGAGTCTTCCTCCCACTTCTCACACATCCCCAGGGCCCTGGCAGGGTACCTGGTAGAACAGTCGTCATGCTTAAACCAGTGGTGAGTGGACTGCCACGCTGTCCAGCCGGGCTGTGACCCAGGGCCAACATTCATCCCACCAGTTGGCTTCTGAGCAGGTCTCAAGGGCCCGAAAAGGTAGCTCCTGAGTTGCAGCCCCCGCCCTCTGGCAGGGGAGCACCCCCTGCACCCCCGTGGCTCAGCTCAGGAAGGTCAGACCGTTGACCAGCAGTGTGTGGCTGGAGCCGAATGGGGACAGAGGGGGACAAGTGCCAGGGAACTTCGGACCTGAGTCCACAAGGAGTCCTGGGGGCAGCACGCTTGGCTTCGCTGGAGCAGATGATCTGCACACTCACCCAGTGGGAGAGAGCGGCTGACCACTGCCACTGCCTCCATCAGCGCCAAACCACCGCCACTGTCAGCGCCAAAGCCACTGCCAGCTCCGCCACCTCCTCCTTCCCCGTTTCTCCCTCTTCTCCGTCCTCCTTTTCCTCCCCCTCCCCTCCCCTCCTCAGAGGGAAGTGCCTCAAGAGACCTACAGGCAAGTCCAACCATGATTGCACGGGGCTGAGAGTGGCCCCTTTGCAGAGAGAAAGGACCACCTCTGGACCATGGATGGCCATATCTCAGCCAAGAAGGCCTGACCCCAGTCCTTGAAGGGGATGTGGACAGTCCAGGCAACACTGAGATGAGTAGAAGACCGCCTCTAAATGTGCCCACCAAATGAGTCCATGCCCAGGCAAGGGAAAGCTGAGAGTCCAGGAGAGTCTTGCTTGCGGTGGGCAGAGTCCCAGCCGCTGATGAAGTTCACATATCCAGAAGGAAGGTCCCCTTGATGTTCCAGAGCTGAGAGCCCAGCTCCACCCTCTGATGAAGCTTACACATCCAGAAGGAAGGTCTCCTTGATGTTCCAGAGCTGAGAGCCCAGCTCCAACCTCTGATGAAGCTCACACATCCAGAAGGAAGGTCCCCTTGATGTTCCAGAGCTGAGACTCCCAGCTCCACCCTCCGATGAAGCTCAGCTGTCCGTGATGAGGGACCTCTTTGATGTTCCAGAGCTGAGACCTCATCTCTGACCTTCTGTGAACCTTGGTCATCCAGAGTGAGGGCCCCTGTGATGTCTAGAGCTGAGACCCCAGCTCCAGCCTCTGATGAACTCCAGATGTCCGTGACAAATGGCCCCCCTCTATGTTCCAGCACTGAGACTCCAGCTCTGGCCTCCAGTGAACCTTGGGCATCCAGAATGGGGGCCACCTTGATATTTCAGAACCGAGACCCTAGCTCCAGCTTCCAATGAAGCTCAGACAGGCAGAACTGAGAAAGTCTCGAGGCCGTGGGCTTCCCTGGGCAGGACTTGGTGTGGCCAAGGTTTGACTGGACTGGAGGCGGCAGAAGGGACTCTGCTTTCCATGTGTGGCCTGCAGACTCCTCACTCGCAGCGCTGGAGGTAGCCTTTGCATCCCGTAGGAAACTGGGTTCCAGATGCATAAGGAGAGAGGTGCAGCAGGGACTGCTGGACGGAGGAGGAGAGAGGACGAGCCCGGCAGCAGAAGTCATGGATCGTGGGTGGGCCCTGCTGCTGAAACCCGGCCCTGAGTATGCAGCAAAGTGCTGTTCAGTCGTGCTGGATTCACGGCTGGCTGCGCACCAGACTTGACCCACGGGGCTGCCAAGTTGGCCAGACCCTGGAATGTAACCCAAGCTTGTTTCCCTGACTTAGCTCCTCTCCCGGGGGAAGTTGCTAAACGCCCACTAGCCAGTCCAGCATGAAGCCAGGACCTTGGGGCTGGTCAGATCTGATTGCCTATTTCCAGCAACAGAAGCTTATTATTGAGGTTGGGGCTGAGAGGGGACCAGGCCATTGCCATGGGTGGTGAAGATGGCATGGACAGCAGAGGAGGCCCCCAGACAACATGGGGAGATGATGGCGGCACGTGCTGCTGTGTTTTGAGCTGGGACCCTGCCCCCAGCACCAAGATGGTCGCTGCGATCCCTAGGACACTGGCTTGACCCCAGTCTGTCCACTGAAGCGGAGAGAGGTGGCAATGAATGAAATGAGGCCAAAAACACTGCCTTGCTCAGAAACCCTAAGAACGTTGTGGGTTGACACAGTCGAAGTGATGAAAAGTGTCAACATCGCGGGGAGAGAATGCTGAGTGTTATTCTGCATGTGCTGACTTTGAAATCTGTAGACTGGGAGGTTCTGAGAATCTGATATCATCATTTATGCCATTCAGACATGGCTACAACGATATATCCTAGAAACTGACTTATTTTCTGCAGTTGGAGTCTGCAGGAAAAGGGAGCAGCTAGCAAGCATTCTTGAAAAACACATCCTAATGATGCCAACATCGTTTTGGTGATGTTCCCTGGAAATTCATTCGAATCTGGAACTGTGCACACAAGAACTTCTTTTATGAGTAATTGGAACTCGAGACCTGGGTTGGAATGGAGGAGAAATGTTGTCTTAGAGGATTGCCCCACCCCCCACTGTCATTGGGCCAAGTTATTTTAGGAGATTTCCAAGAACAGGCAATTATTAGAATCACTCCTTGCTGATTTCCTAGAAGTTTCCACAACAATCTCTTAAGCCAAATGTGAAACGGGTGCGCCAGCGGGCTCATAATGTTTGTGAAAAAAATGTGAAATTGCCCTGTGACATCATCAGCTGCAGGGAGCAAGGCTCAGAGTCGAACAGAGGGAGCTTCTGGATCATGGGGCAGAGCCTCCAGACTTAATGCAGGTCAGAGATGATGATATAGCCCCTCCCAGGAAGACTGTCGAGTTGTTGAAGATTTTCTGGAGTATGCTAGGCATTGTGCTGAGACTCTGGGAGACGAGATGGATTTGATTCAGTCCCCACCCTCCCAAGTGCAAAAGACTAAATTCCAGGTGCTGTCACTGCTGTGGTCTCAGTGTAGAGGGCTCCCCTTTGGTCAGGCCTGGATGGTTCATGGTGGTCTCCCAGTCAGCTCCCATTTTACAGATGGAAACGCTGAGGCTGAGAGAAAGATTGGCTACTTGATGTCCATTTAGACCAGACGTCTCTGGAGGTCAAATGTTCCAGACAACAGGCTGCCTCTGACTGTACTGAGATTCAGGAAGAGTCCAGAAGGCTGAATGGATTGCCCACAGATGCCCATCAAGACAGCAGGAGGAGGAAGACTTGGTGCCAGAGCTCCTGTCTCCTCGGGCAGATTGACTGTGATGGTACCCGTGCTCCAGGATCCCAGCCCCCGCGCCACGCTGGAAGACCAGGCCAGAGGGAGTGAGGAAGACCAGGCCAGAGGGAGTGAGGCTGCTCAGCGGGATGGAGTGACGGGACAGGAAGAGCCCCTCCTGGGGGATCTAGAGAGCCAGGCTCAGTTACTATTTGTCTCCACCTGTCCCGTGGGGCTTTAGTTTCCCCTGCCAGTCAGTGTCCTCCCTCCTTCTTCTTGGAGCAATGTTCTCTGATGGGAGCCCCCACTTTTGCCTAGTGAGTGGTGACCACTTGGTGAAATGGATTCATGGCGAGGAGGCAGGCAATCCCTGAGGGAGATGAAAAGCACGGCCGCCTTCCTTCCCAGGAGGGGTCGACTCATGCCCCAGATTTCGTGGCTACTGCCAGCTCCACTCTTAGAGGAAGCAGTAACCCAGAAGATGCCCTGGGCTGCCATTTTTCCCCAGATGACTGTAATCTTCCCTTCTTATCCACACTGGTGGCCACCATCTTGTTACCTAAATTCAAGTTGACCTAGGCACCCTCTATGTTATGTGGCAACCGTATGTGTGTGTGCTAAGTCACTTTAGTTGTGTCCAACTCTCTGTGACCCTGTGGACCCTAGCCCACCAGGCTCCACTGTCCACGGGATTCTCCAGGCAAGAATACTGAAGAGGGCTGCCATGGACTCCACCGGGGGATCTTCCTTACCCAGGGACTGAACTCATGTCTCTTAGGTCTCCTGCATTGGTGGTGAGGGGGGCGGTTCTTTACCACTAGTGCCACCTGGGAAGCCCCGGCAGCCTGGGAAGCCAAGGAGTTGGGGAGATGGAGTGAGACAGGGGCTGGCAGCCTGTGGAAAGCTTTCTCTCAAGCACCATTCATGTGGAGGGGTGTCCCCCACACAGGCTGGTGGGAGGCAGGACACCCCTGACTCCCCAGCACTTCTTAGGAGAAAGTTTGGCCTCTTACCCTCAGCCCTGCACCCTGCACTCAAGTTGAGCCTTCAGGGAAGTCAGTCCCGGAAGCGGCAAAGACTCTGCAGAGGCCGGGCCCACTTGTGGGTGGGCGGAGGCGGACTGGGAGGACAGATGGGCAGGACAGTGAGGGGCAAGACGGCAGCCAACTGGTCCAGAGTCAGACCAAATTCCAGCCAAGTGTTACTCAAGTGATCGGCAGAGGAGGGGGAGCCCCACCCCAGGGAGACATATATCAGGCTTCCCAGAAGCCCTTAGTCTACTGCCTCCCCGTGGCTCTGGGGCCTCCAAGGCCAGAGCTTCTCTAGGCTCCAGGAGGCCCTGGGAGTGGGGGTGGGTGGGGGCCGGGAGGGGGCTGGCAGGGTGTTGTGGAATGTTACCTATATACCTGCACTTCACAAAGCACTTTATCTGTCTGCTTGGTGTTGGTTGATGGTGGCAGGAGTGGATGGATGTGTGTCTGTGGGGGGCTGGGTACCCCTTGGGCCCCCCACATCACCAGGGAGACCTTAGGACTCAGAGATGGGATACTCACATGTCCATAGGGCGCTGGGCCCAGGAGCGGTCTTTTCTGAGATACTCTGGCCAGGGCCTCGGTGCCCAGGAATCAGGCCATGCTGCTAGGAGAAAGCCCCCAGGGCACCCCTGCCTGGTCATTTGGGGTTAATGACCCAAGCTGGAACTTGCATGTGACCTCAAAGGGTCTTAACCAACACGCCCCATGCAGCCCGGACTCATGCCCCTGCAAGGGAGCTGTTTCTGGATATTTCTGCCAACTGGGACCCCTGACTCAGGGATCAGTCTGCACCCCTTCACCCCAGCTCCTGCACTGTCCCCAGCACCAGATGGGTGCTTGGGTGGCTGCCCCAGGTTAGGGTCAAGTGCTGTCCCGACCTTGGGGGATGGTGCTCATGGTGCAGGGGGGCCCTAGCCTCGGTTGGGGGACGGATGTGTTTGAGCCTGCCTGTGTGTGCATGGGTGTGTGCACGTGTGCAGATGTGTGTGTGCCTGTGTGTGTGAGAGAGCGAGACGGTGGAGAGTGACTGGAAATGAGAGACAGTGGGTCTCTCCCTAACCTCAGATGCCCTGAATCTGAACTCCACATCCATTCCCCCACAGACCCACTCTCTGCAGTACCCCCTGCCACGAGCCCCCTGTAGCTTCCCAGCAGCCCATCTGTCATCCAGTTCTGCCACCGTGAACAGGAGAGTGGCATCCTCGGTCCTCACCCCTTCCCCTTCCCTGCCCGACCCCCCCGCCCCGCCCACTGCAATGCCTCTCCTTGGCAATCTTGCCCCCAAGAGCTGTTGACGCCCCCTCTCACCAGCTGTGCCCAGTGCTCCCGAGTGGGGCCTCCCCTGCCTGCAGCCCCGCAGTTCCTCCCACCCCACCTGGGACTCTGACCAGCTCCCCTAGGCCAGCCCCCCAGACCCCAGCTTCCCCAGCAGCTCACAGTGTTTGTCCAGCTACCTCCTGGA